CTTCCTTCCTTCCTTCCTTCCTTCCTTCTGCATGGCTTGATCCCTGCTCTCCTCTCCGCTCATCTCACTGGTTTATTCGCTCTGTTTCCCAAGCTGACATTGCTGCGGCTGGCGTCAGTGTGGGCATGCGTCACAGCAGCAGCATGCATGTTCTGCCTGTGTGCTTGCATGCATTTGTGGCTGTGCATGTGGCTATACTTGTGCATGTGTGCCTGATTGTGTGCGTGGTTGTCCTGTTGGCAGTCAGAAAAGTGTATCTCACCAGGATGACCTACAGCATGATGATCATCGGGGCTAGTTAAATATTACCTGCTAGCTGTCAAACACCTGGTCCTACCGGGGCTGCACAATATTGGAAAAAACTGACATAGCAGTATTTACTTTTCCAGGATATATATTGCTGATGAAAAACTACATGACTTTTCACCAGATGACTTGGAATAGCTGTACTTGGAAAGATTTAAGCATGCAGTGCCTGCATGTCCCTTATTAGCAAATGAACTCTGTGTATCCAAGAACCCTTAAATCAAAGTCAATTATGTTATATCAGACAGACTTCTGCTGTAGAGTAGAGTTACCCGTTTGACTCCAGACTGTAGTTGGGGATCTTCGGTTTCTAACTTGGTTAGCTTTAGCCTAGCTCGTAGCTGGTAGCTTTTGCAGGTGACAACATTGCATTTTTTTTTATATAGTTATTACACTGGAATCTGAGTTTATCTAGACATGTTGTGCTGACTGTTGTGGCTTCACTACCCATTAGGCCTGACATGATAACTACTTTTGTTGGACAGTATATTCTCAGGGAAACAATTGGGATAAGCGGTATTATTGTCATGTTGAGACCATTTTATTTCACTAATTTAATTATAATATAATAGCATAATGATGCAGGTACATCCTTTCAAAAGCCACAAACTTTTAATTCATAAGAACATTCAGACATTGGAATTGCAATATGAAAAAAAAATCAACATGTTTTTAAAATAGTAGTAAACACTGGTTAATATACAAGAAAATTATAGTACACTTTATAGTAGTAGCCCAAAATAACTGATTTTGAGATCTAATACGAAATTTGGCCAACAAAAACAAAATCAAGTGATGTCCCTTGTGACTAATAGACAAGCTTTGCAAAGCTCCGGGTTACCTCCATATTCTAGCAAGTGTGTTCCTGCGGAATGGATGGCCTGGAAGCTGAGTGGTTTGCTGGTGGGTTTACAGAGTGGAGGGTAAAACTATAAACCACGGCCTTTTTTGCTCATTGCCAGTGGTTGGCAAGCTAATGGCTATTGAAACTGTGCCTCTTCTGCTCAAAAAGTGCAGCTGCAGGCTACCAGTGAGCTAAACTGTGTCGTCTTTGAAGTGTTATTTGTCTTTGCACCCTGACAAGCAGGTGAGGGTGGAGAGAAAAACAGGGAGAATTGCTGTGCCCAAGTCTTACAGTATAATGGTCCGGGGAAATCCTGCAGTTTATTCTGGCATCATGTTGGCTAAATTGCTGGTCACATTCTTAGGTAAACAAACAGGCATGTGAACAAAACTGGTAATACCAAGGTCAGCAAAAGGATCAAGGTCATGTCCATATATCGCACAATTAGTTGATAATGTACTTATTGTGACAGTCCTACCATCAATGAAAAGCATGCGCTTCACTGTGTCTGGGGTGCCTGATACTTTTCTACACACACAAACAGGAGAGTATCTCTTCACATAACAAACCCCACCAGACTCCGTCACATACACACATCACCCACAAGGCCACCTGTCTTATAGTGGAAGGTTTGGCCGATAAGAACCATGCAACTTTTCCTTTTGTATAAAGCACCAAAAAGTTGTAACATGACCTGTTTGAGTTAATATGCCTTACTTGTTAGATGCTGAAATGATATATCATGCAGCCCTATATCCTACTCCTCTTGTAACAAAGCTTAGTAGCATCTCTTTGTCTTGTTAGCCCCTCCCTGCCTGATAAATGCTTACATCTTGAAACTCCATGTCCCCAGTTTGTTACGCCGACCTCGGTTTCGCCCAGGAAATTGTTAGCGGAGGTGTTAAGCGCTGTCACCCTGCTAAGCTGAATCAGACAGATGCATCACGTATTGTGATGAGTTCAGTTACCTAATGACAACGTCTACTATTGCCTCACTCATTATCTATGTTGTGTTATGTACACCTCTGCACTTTCCTTGTGTAGGCTAATGATGTATTTGATTACGGTGTAAGGATTTCTTTGTTCTGATGTTAGTGGGGGAGGTCTTATTTTCAGCCACTGCTATAATACACTGTAAGAAACACGGCACACTTTCCAGTAAGAATTTGTGATCTCCATGCCCAAACAGAGGTAACACTGGTGACATCATCAGGGGTTATTAATGATATCCTGTGCATGTTAAAACCACATGTTAAAGAAGAGCTTGAGTGTCTGAAGGTGACAAGGCACGCAGTCACTACTGTTAGTGGGGGCCTCAACTGTACATTGGTATGTGCATGTGTATATACACTATGCACACCATGTGCCAGTAGTCATGGGGGTTTGTGCTGATGCGTAGTGACAAGCAGCTCAGACACGTGGAGAGCCCTCCATATATACTATACACACACAAATATGCTCACACAGAGCCATCGTTACAAATACAGCAGCTCTTGATGACGGGGTCGTGACCCTCATGGGGTTATTATGTCTCCTGTCAAGACAGATCACCAAAGAATAAAAAAAAGCAGGAGGCAGACAGGAAGGGCAGAAATGCCACTGCAACGGCATATGTTACCCAACAAAATAGAGAAAAATGAAAACTACACAAAAACAGAAAGAGCTGGCATGTGGGACTCTCAGATGGCGATTTTTTTTTTCCCACGAAGAGTTTTCATTGCAGATTGTTTTACTGAGAGAAGGTGGACAGTCCATCTTAGTTACAGCTATAATGATAACAGCTTACCAATATTAAGTTATTAAGTAACATAGTCAAGATGATGAAGTCATAGTAATTATAAGACAATACAAATACAATATGTATTAATTCTCTAATAATCTACAGTGCCCCAGGAATTTAGGAGTCCTAAAACATGAAAACCAGTTAGCATTTTAGCGCCCCTGGTTCCCTCGTCTTGAAGTCAATGGGTTTTTTGAGCGAGTTTTTGGTTAGATGCCTGAAATAAGGTCTGTGGTTAACACACGTTTTGTTCTACAACATAAAATACATCAGGAAATACCCAGCTTGTGAATTTTGAAGCTTTCAGGTGTCTTTAAAAAGGAAGTTGCTAACAAGTGGCTAAAAGGAACTACAGAATGTCATCTTGCTGAACACAGCTGTACAGCCTCGTTTGGTGTCGGCACAAAAGTCATGTGACCAAAGTGTAGTTAGTATATAGCCTAATGTTAGCTTTTACTTCTGGCCATTGCATTTATGCTTAAAATATTCATAAAAGTGGTGTTTATTTGTGAAGATTATCTTGCTGAACAAAACACGTATCATCAACGTTTGTTTGCCACAGAGCTTATGTACTGCAATAATCCAAAATCCAATGGAAAAATCCCATAGGCTTATTGATGAGGCAACCAGTGTGACGCAAACTTCTGAGTCGGCCCACAAAAACGTCATCCCTGCAGCACTAATCTCACATTTTTGGAAGCATGCATATTCGCTTTCTTGCGCAAAGATTCACGAGAAAATTAACGCCACTCTCATGTCTGTACACTGAATATGAAGCTAACACCAGCAGCCAGTTAGTTTAGCACAAATTATGGAAACAGGGAGAAAAAGCTAGCCTGGCCCTGTTCAGGGGTAACAAAATCCACCCATGAGTACCTCTACAGCTCACTCATTCACAAGTCGTATCTGTTAGTTTTACCTGTACAAAAAATGTATATTTCCCCCAAATTTCTGTCGTTAAGGAGTAGATGTATGATATCAGGCTGTAGATGTCAGGCTAGAATCAAAAGTAATACGCTTTTTGGTGAAAAAGGATACATTATTCATACTTATCCCGCAGAGTGAAGCTATACTGCAACATGTAAGAGGCCTTTTTTTTTTTTTTTTTTTTATTTATTTATTTATTTTTTTTATCTTTGATTACTTGGATTTAAGCCACATGCGACCAGTTTGCAATTCCACGGAGATGAGGAAAGTAGTCAGATGCTGCCTCAGTAATAAGGGAGTTTGGTTTGTTGTAAATGGAGCATCTTCAGATGGAATTATTGTCATTATTTCCACTGATGAGCAGACAGGGCATCCTCAGCCACTGTTGGAGCTGCCGTCATTTATCCACCAATCACTTGAGCCACTCCAGACGGGCCTGTTGATGATGGAATGATAAAATTAAAGTATTATTCAAATTCATTCTAAATGGATGGTCACGTGTGAAGTTATTAGAATTTAGTGAAAATGAAAATAGTTCAGATTTCATAACTGCTTCTATTAAATGAGGCAGGTGAAAGGACTAGATATCCTGATTTTTGTGAAATATTCTAAGTAAGCAGTAGAAATATATGATATTCTCTTCTATTAAAGATTGAACGCAGTTACATTTTGACACAATGAAATGTGGACGATTGCATTTTAAGCTCTTTTTTTCTCATTTCATTTCATTTTATAGCAGTGTGTGAGTGATTTAGTGCTGTGCTGCTGTGTAGTTTCCACATCCCCTGGTATTGAATCTGCTGCTTGCCTACTCATTGACATTCTTTTCTCATGAAGCAGTCAGTCTTTGCTGCTCTGCTGTACTTGTACAGGCTTGTCTCGCTGTGTGGCTGCCTTCACTGAGGCAGGAGGGAGAAAAATACATTATGTCATACTGTACATTGGCTTATTGTGTTCTTTGTGGATGGATTGAGCCTTTTCCAAAGGGGCTTTTCTTACTTAAGCACACCTAGGTTGTCATAAAGTATTTGCACATTACAAGAATAGATACAATGATGGTGAATTTCTTTTCTTTTGCTGTTTCTCCTCTTGTTTCTCTCACTCATCATTTTCTCCTCTCTACTGTGTGTTTGGTTGTTGCAGACCCTGGTAGGAGCGTGATGAGCGCGCGCTTCCACTTGCCTGCTGGCAGATCCTACAATGTCCGGGCGACGGAGCTGGAGCGAGACAGGCAGCACACACAGGTTGTGTGCAACGTACTGCTGCTGGACAACACAGTCCAGGCCTTCAAAGTCAGCGTAAGTACCGCTCTCCCTGGTCCATAAGTATCTTAATCTAGATTTTAATAAACTGAATTTCGAAATATGTGGCAAATGAGAGCATACATTTGTGACTAACATACTGAAGGTTTGACACAAATTACAGGATAAATACTGCATTCTGAAAGAACAGATGTGAAGCACACCTCCCCAGGGGGGAGCGGAGGGAGAGATGAGAGGCGTGAGCCATATTTTGAATCAAAATTCGTCTTGGAGTTTTAACTCAGTCATATCTGAACATACAGACATGATACACACATTTTTTTATTTTCAGTGTAAATGTCACTGCCTGACAACATCATAATCTCTGATGTCAGTCACACACAAATCTAAGAATAAAGATGCTCCTCATAAATCCAGAACAAGATCCAGTGACAGTACAGACTGTCTGTACATCCATGGGTGCATTGCAAACAGGAACAGCTAATAGCTAATTCAGCATACTTTTCATAATGTCAGTTTACAAATAAACAAATACAGGCTAAAAAGGGCTAATGTTGTAACCCTCTGCTAACTGACTCGATGTCAGTAAGCAGAGGATTACAACATTAGCCCTCTGCTAACTGACTCTACGTCAACCTTATAGTTCCTGTGTAAATCTCTTGGTAATATCATAAAAAAAATGTCCTTTACTGGTTTTAAAAGCTGCATTACAGTAAAGTGATGTAATTTTCTGAACTCACCAGACTGTTCTTGCTGTTCTATTATTTGTATTACCCACTTCGTCATTATACCCACATTATCAATGATTATTTATAGAAAATCTCATTGTGTCAATATTTTGTGAAAGCACCAATTTTTAACTCTACAATATTGTTGCAGTGTCGATATTGATATTAATTTGGTCAAGAATATTGAGATATTTGACTTTTTCCACCTTACCCAGACCTACCCCAAATTATGTGCTGTAGAGCATTATATACCCCAGACCACAGTCATAATGATAATAGGAGTGTGATGGGGAGATTTGGGGGGGGGGGTCTTTCGGAGTAGAGCAGTTGTCAAAAGTTTTACTGAGGTAGAGCTCAGTGTGTCAGACTTGGAAAACCTCTGTCAGACAAAATGTGATTCGCCCAATAATTAATAAAACTTTAATAATCAACTTCTCATGTAGGCATAGTTTTTCTTTTTTAAAATTAGGAAACCCATTGAATAACCTCAACCGGACTAATGAAAACCCATCAGAATCACATGGTTGAATTTTTGGTTATACATAAAAAAAAAAAGAAGTTCAAAGAGAACATAATAGGTGTGCTCAATGAGCCATGAAGTGACTTAATGTTTATTAAGCCATGAAGTGAGGAGAAAATGAGCAAGCCCTCAAATAATCCTACATTAACCCAAGCAAAACCCCCAAAAGGAAAAACTAGAAATGAGAGCGCCGATGTTGTGCCCCCTCCTCCCTCTCACATCCCTCCCTCCCTTCACTTCTTCCACTACTGTAAATTTCCCCTCAAGCCCACCTCACATTAACTTGAGAGTTGGTGGGGAAAAGGCCTCTGTGTGTCTGCATGTCTGCAGACATTTAAAAAGCATCCCACACTGTATTCTTTCCTGCCATATTGTGACAATACTGTCTTCTCTCACACTCAGTAGGTGCTCAGACACAGTTGGGTTTTATCATGTTTTACTCAAGTCACACCTTGAGGGGAAGAGACATAAAGTGTGTGTGTTGTATGTTTTGCCCAAAGCCAGGTGACACGTTGCCTTGTGACTGACATTAGAGTCGTCTGTCACTTCATGTGATAACACATTTCCTTTTCTCTCCCTTGCTCTTTGTGTCTGTCTTTATGTCTCTCTGTCACCGTGTGTGTGATCAGACTTCTGACAGTACGAGTAGGGAAATTCCCTTTGTGAGTCAGAAAATACAATTCCTCTAATAACATCCCCTCTGACAGATCACATCCTGTTGGTGGTGAAGTGTGTGTGTGTGTGTGAGTGTGAGAGTGCATGTGAGCATGTATATGCATGTATAGCTAGAGAAATACACAAAAAAGCACATTATGACTTAAGAGTGGTTACATAATTCTTTATTTGGATGTGAGAGAGAAATGGAGGGCAACCATGTTGGGTTTTGTATGTTTTTGTCAAAAGCTAGCTTGTAGCTGGTTGGTCTGTGTTTTCCTGACTCTCTTTGCTCTTCTGCTCTTTCTGCGGGCCCCTACCAAAAGAACTGAGATGCAAATTCTGCGCATGAACTTTGTACATAAAACAAGTTTTGAGGACTTCAGTGGTTGAGCCAAAAGGCTAATGAACTTCTTGCATCATACATTATGTGTTCTCTGTATTCTTTTGTTTTCGATAATAACCTATAACTAACTAAAAACACAAAATGATGTGAAATTAAAGAGCCATTTTCTTTTGGTCCAGTGCTTAATAAGCCCCTTTTACACTGCTTCTTCAAGGCAGGAATTTCACGCCACTATTCCATCTAACTGTGCTGTGTAATAGGTACAGTTGCAGAGTGGGCGGGGCAGATTTGTCTCACATTTAAGCCAGCATCTGAGGTAGTAACAGTGCTGAAACAATCTCTGTATAAACAGGACAGCCTCCAGCACGGGATCATGGGCAGCACAGGTGTGACATTTTGACGACATGTTATGCATACCACCGATCACAGGGAGATTTAAAAAGTAGCTGATAGCAGTTAGCAGCTAACACAAAGAGGAAGAACAGTGGCCGAAAATGCCCTCAAATTAAGAAAACAATGAGGTGCAGGAGGTCCTTGCACTTCAATTAGAGGCCGAGATCAGACAGGGGACAGTAAATGATTGTTACTGCCATGTTTTGCCGTTGTTATTGTTTACAAAGCGCTGCCAACTTGTGTTAAATGTCATACTAGAGTCTAAAATCACACACCAGAGTGGCATGAGGCTGTTCTTGTTTGGTTCTGTGTAAAAATGCAAAGGCAGCATAAAGACGAGACTTTGTAGTGGCCCTGTGGAGCATATTTGTGTAAAAAATTGACTCAATGACCTTTGGTGCCACATTTCAAAGCGCTATCCATTTAGTGGTGGTGACATTTAACAGTTTTGTGTTGTACATGTCTAGCTTTTTATTTCATTTCCTGTTTGCTTTGCAGACAGACAGCTAGCTAGCTGCTTTAATGTGCAGAAACAGGGTGCCCACTGCCCACCCTCAAGCTAGCCGTGCTTACGCTGCTAACAGTGCTAACAGCGCTAACAGTGATTGTTGACAAGACTATAAAGGGTTGTGTGGCTCAAAATAAAGTCACTCACTCACAGAGGGGACATTGGGAGAGACAGGAGGGTGGGCACAGTGTTTCTGCTGCCACACCACCATGGGTTGGGATGGTGGTACCAGTGGTAGTCGCAGAATGAGCAACAACGGCAGCAAGCTCCCACCCGACCCAGGTGGTGAGCAATACAGAGCGGCAGCAGCTAGTTAACCAGTGTAGCATGAATACTTATTTAGCTCTGTTGTGGTACAGCAAAGTGCTAGTACTTCTACTAAATTGAAATGTAGCTAAATCAACCTGTAGACAGACATGTGTAACTTGTCAAAAAATTCTTGGTGGTTTACTGATTAATGGTTAACGGGTGACATCCCTAATTTTAGTCATTATTGTGAATTTCTATCTTACACAGCTTCTTTTCTTAAATCTCCCCTCTCTGTTTTCTGTCTTTACATCTCTCACTGCACATTTCTCTCCCTCAGCTTCCTGCTCCAGACCCGTTCCCCCCTCCCTGAATCTTGCTGAATGAATGACTCGGTCTCTGTCAGTCTCTCTGTCAGTGTCATTGATCAGACCCCTGCAGCAGCAGTAACTTCCTGGAAAGACAAGCCATCCTGAGAGCAACAATACTTCTATTGATCCTCTCCCTGGCCGACTGGCCTTGATTCTAGCGGAGAGTGAAAATCCAGAAGCAGTCACTTATTGTCATGGGAACCAGAGTGCTCGTGGTGCAGGGGGGGTTGGGGTTGGGTGCACATGAGGGCTTGTACTGATGATCTTATAGATGGGAAGTCTTTGGCTGACCAGTATAAAGCAGAATCTGGTGTAGCTCCAAGACGTGATAGATTACAAGAAATTAAAAAGCCCAGCTCACTACTGACCCACCTCTCTACAAATACAAAAGCCGGGTCAGAAGCAAGATTTATTCAGAGTAAAGTGACATGCAGCAGTAACCATAGTAACCACTACACACCACATAAACATTCGGCTGCCTGCAAGAGCTATTTGGTAATGAAGCACCTCTTAATAATGAGCAAGTAAGAGCAGCGAGAGGCGAATAATCCTGCAAAACAGCTGTAATTTACCACTGAATGAAACCTCTGAATGAATACAAATGCAAGATATGTGATTTAAAAACCATTAGTAGGGGGCTTTTTCTAAACCATTTTGTTAGTAACTCCTTCTCCTAAGTTTAACTGATGGCTTTGAAGGCCTTTCGTGTTTTTAGATACCTACTTATTCCTACTTATTGCCTAGTATTCTTCAGCACACTCTACAGAAGCTAGCTGGACATGTTTCCACTTCATGTATTACTTTCCCTTTAGTCATCCCAGACACTTTTTTCTTTAGTACAATCCTAATATGAAAAGCTCCAACAGTTATCGTGTCGTCTCTGTGACTGGGTGAGCTTAAACGATAGATAACAGCTGCTCTTGTGTGTTTTGGTAAAATTATTTCATTTTAATTATGTATTAGAGACTTTGTGTAAAAACTGTGGAGAATGGCTCAGCAAATTTGTGTTTGTGTTGTGGGATGGGTGTGTCTGTGGGAGCATTTGGCTCGCTTTCGTTTCTAATTGCAGAAACGGATATTAGTGCGGGTGGAATACACTATGTGCGACTTGTTATTTAGTTTGTACGTTTTTGTGTCCATAAACATGTGTACATTAGGGTGATGATGATTTTTCAAATACAGTCTGAAGGGAGGAGATGCAGCCCCACTATAAGCGACAAGAAACATGCTCCCATTCACTGTCTACTGTAAGCGACTGATTTGCTGAAAG